CATCCCTCCCCCCATCCCTTCCCCCATGTCCCCCCCTGCGTGCGACCAGGGCTGTGAGGGCAAGCTGTCCAGCCTGGTGGTGGAGAGTGGTCAGAGAGTGACCGGAGCCTGCCTGGCCCTGTGCCGGACCTGTGGGGAGCTGGCCCTAGCCACCGAGTGTCACGTGTTGAGGCTTGACCACTCCCACGCCCGCGGACTGGGATCTGTGTGGGTACGTACACATCGTTAGACCGGTCATTGAACCAGTACCAGTGGACCCATCTTGCCAGTTGCTCATCACATGACAGAAGCCGTCTGTGCACTGTGTGTGTGCTGCTCCTGTGTTTGTCAAGTGCTCCGAGCCTGTGGTCTTCCATCCTGGTGGAGTGGTAGATAAACATCGTATATTATTATTATTGTTTTTGTTTTTTTCCGGATAAATCCAGACACCCCCCTCCCGGATTTCTGAAAAATTGTCCACATTTTGAAATATAATTCTACTTATACATTTCCCATTTCTTCCTACTTCAGTCTCTCGTTCATGGCGTGTTGCGCTCTGTATTGAGATAATCAATGCCTCAAGGTGCATTAGACAAGATGATGTGTACATTTGGAGTCCCCGCGCACAGGTGTCTATTGGGTGCTATGGTGTGTTTGCTCCTTCTTTCTATCAAATATCTGTCGTCCATATCTCTCTTCCTTCTTTCTATCAAATATCTGTCGTCCTTATCTCTCCTCCTTCTTTCTATCAAACATCTGTCGTCCTTATCTCTCCTCCTTCTTTCTATCAAATATCTGTCATCCTTATCTCTCCTCCTTCTTTCTATCAAATATCTGTCATCCTTATCTCTCCTCCTTCTTTCTATCAAATATCTGTCGTCCATATCTCTCCTCCTTCTTTCTATTCAACATCTGTCGTCCATATCTCTCCTCCTTCTTTCTATCAAATATCTATCGTCCTCATCTCTCCTCCTTGCTTCTGCCGTACATCTGTCGTCCTCATCTCTCCTCTTCTTTCTATCGTACATCTGTCGTCCTCATCTCTCCTGTTTTTCTTTGTATATCCTTCTTTAGTAACACCTCTAATCGTCGGCACTTTTCTGACCTGATTATGTTGGAAGTGCCGTAAAACTCTTGCCAAAACTGTCCAACTTGTCCCCAGCTGAGCGAGGCGGTGAGTCAGAGCTTCCTGTCCGGCTGTGGACAGTTTGCCGAGACCACTCTCCGCGGGGCGCTACAGTCGCTGGATGTGTGTGAGGGCAAGTGTTTGAGATGGAGGCCGGCGGAGACAGACGAGGTGGGTGAACCGTGGTTAGGGTCATGTGTCATGTGGGTGGTTGGTGGGTGAACCGTGGTTAGGGTCATGTGTCATGTGGGTGGTTGGTGGGTGAACCGTGGTTAGGGTCATGTGTCATGTGGGTGGTTGGTGGGTGAACTGTAGTTAGGGTCATGTGTCATGTGGGTGGTTGGTGGGTGAACTGTAGTTAGGGTCATGTGTCATGTGGGTGGTTGGTGGGTGAACTGTAGTTAGTGTCATGTGGGTGGTTGGTGGGTGAACTGTAGTTAGGGTCATGTGGGTGGTTGGTGGGTGAACCGTAGTTAGGGTCACGATCGTTAGAGTGGGTAGTTGGTGGGTGAACTGTAGTTAGGGTCACGGTCGTTAGAGTGGGTGGTTGGTGGGTGAACTGTAGTTAGGGTCATGGTCGTTAGAGTGGGTGGTTGGTGGGTGAACCGTAGTTAGGGTCATGGTCGTTAGAGAGGGTGGTTGGTGGGTGAACCAGTAACATGTTTCACTCCCCTAATTCTGTCTATCACAGGAGTGAGAACCATCAGTAACATGTTTCACTCCACTAATTCTGTCTATCACAGGAGTGAGAACCGTCAGTAACGTGTTTCACTCCACTAATTCTGTCTATCACAGGAGTGAGAACCATCAGTAACATGTTTCACTCCACTAATTCTGTCTATCACAGGAGTGAGAACCGTCAGTAACGTGTTTCACTCCACTAATTCTGTCTATCACAGGAGTGAGAACCATCAGTAACATGTTTCACTCCACTAATTCTGTCTATCACAGGAGTGAGAACCATCAGTAACATGTTTCA